CAACGGCAAAGGAAGACCTTTCTCTCTGTCTCTCTCTCTCACTGTCCACTCTGCCTGTCAAAAATAAATAAATACATAAATAAAAAATTTTTAAAAATATGAAAAGATAAATCACAGACTAAGAGAAAATATTTGCAAATCAGATTTCTGATAAAAATATTTGCATTCCGAATATATAAGTAACTCTCAAAACCCAATAAGAAGAAAGCAATCTACTTCTAAAGACAGGCAACATATTTGAACAGACAATTCAAAAGAAGATATGCCGATGTAAAGAAGGTACACAATGAATTGAAGCACAGTTCTGTAAGGAAACGCACGTTGAAAGCATCCTGAGACGCCGTGACAGCCCCGTTCACCAACGTCCGCGACTTCCTGATTCGCCCCGGCTTCGGAGGTCCCTTACAGGCTCTGCCAAAGCCACGCAGTTAGTTGTCTGGTGAACCGCAGGAGCCAGCCCGGGCTCTGGCTGATGGCACTGCCTGCGGTCTTTCCTCCAAGCGAGTGGGAGAAGCCGCCGGTGATGTGGCGGAGAGCACACCGGGGCCAGGGTCGGGGTGCAGGGAGCCAGGAAGGGAAGAAACTCCATCAACTCCAGGTGGGCGGAGCTGGAGCCGAAGCCAGGGGGAAGGTGATCCTCCCATCCTGTGCAGCGATCCACTGCAGGTGCTCGGTGTGGCCCGAGACAAGCTCGCTGTCTAGGTCATAAAGGACAGGGGCACCCTGACTTTTGTCCAGTAGTTAAACGAGGAGACAGGAAGAGGGGCTAGATACCGGCCAACACCTGCTGACTTCTCTTCTGGCCTGGCGGGCTGCAGCCTGGGCCCTGAACACGTGCTCTCCTTTGGCAGGAGATGAGGGTCGGGGGTGCTGATGACGAGGGGACCCAGGGGACCCCCTGGGCTGCTGAAGGTGCCCTGTCTTATCTCAGTGGTGCTTGCATGGGCAGATACACCAAATTTAGTCGTGCTGCACACTTGAGATTCGTGCATTTTCCTCTTTGCAGTTCACGTCTCAGAGGCCTGCACCGTGATGCAGCTTAGGACGCTGCTCGCCATGGGGGCAGCCCAGACTGCCGGCTCCAGTTCAGCTGCTGCATTTCTTTTTTTTAATGAATTTATTTATTCATTTTAAATGATTTTTTTTTTATTTTTTGACAGGCAGAGTTAGACAGTGAGAGTGAGAGAGAGAGAGAAAGGTCTTCCTTTCATTGGTTCACCCCCCAAGTGGCCACTATGGCTGGCGCGCTGCGCTGATCCAAAGCCAAGAGCCAGGTGCTTCTCCTGGTCTCCCATGGGGTGCAGGGCCCAAGCACCTGGGCCATCCTCCACTGCCTTCCCAGGCCACAGCAGAGAGCTGGACTGGAAGAGGAGCAACCAAGACAGAATCTGGCGCCGGGACTAGAACCGGTGTGCGGCGCTGCGGGCGCGCAAGCAGGAGATCAGCTTATGGAGCCGTGGCGCCGCTCTTCACTGCTGCATTTCTGACCAGGCTCTCTGCTCATGTTGCCTGGGAAGGCAGCAGAAGATGGCCAGGTACTTGGGCCCCAGCCACCCAGGTGGGGGACCAGGTGGGGTTCCTGGCTCCTGGCTTCAGCCCGGCACGAACCTGGCTCACTCTGCCTTTCAAATATATATATATATATATATATATATATATATATATATATATATATATATAAAATGAGCACCCTCTGCAGCTTCCCATCGCCTTTAGCACAGGCCTGGGCCCAGCTGGGTCTGCCTTCCCACGGGAGCTGCACTCCACACGCTCTGCCCCAGCTGTGCCTCCTGCTGGCCACAGGATGCTGCTCTCCCTCATTCTGCACCCTGCTCCCCACAGTCCCAGCTGAGAACAGGCCCTTCCTGCCTCGCCGTGGGAAGACCCAGTTCCACAGGAGCCTTCCTGCCGCCCCACCCGGTGGGACCGGCAGTGGTAGAACCTGGGTCAGACTTAGCTGTGATGACTTTGTCGGTATAGTCAGACGCCCGCAGGATAGGGACACTGCTGTGTGGTCACCCCACCGCCCCCGCCCAGGACTCTGCACCCATTCCGCACCCCTCCCCACCCCGGCACTCCCAGCCCCTCTGGTTTTGGCCACTCCAGGGTCCTCCGACACGTGGTACCTTACTGTGTGTGTCCCTTAGCCACCGGCTCACTTCACTTAGCCTAATGTCTGCAGGGTTTCTCAGAACTGCAGCATGAGTCAGCACTTCCGTGTTTTGCAAGGCTGAGTTTTATGGAGATAGCACATGCTCTTTATCCATTCATCCATCCAAGGACACTTGGGTGCTTCCCTCACGGCTGCCATTGCACAGGATGCTGCCACAAACACAGGTGTGCAAATATCGCTTCCAGTCTCTGCTATCACCTCCTTTGGGACCATTCCCAGAAGTGGAATTGCTAGAACGCATGCTAATTCCAGGTTTCGTTTCACCGGGAACTGCCAGCCTGTTAGCCACTCGTGCGTCTGGAAGACTTTTTTCTTTGAACAATATTTTATGGAAATATTGTTTACAAAGAGGAAGGTGCATAGGCCCTGGTTTGCCATGTGAGTTTTTTCCGAACGCAGACATCTGTGTGATCATCACCGAGGTCAAAATCCAGAGTGCTCCCCCCAGGCCCCCCAGCCCCCAGGTGGCTCCAACAGGCCCCTCCCAGTCAGCACTCCCCTCCCTGGGGGTGGGGGTGGTGACAGCGGTCTTGACCCTTTGTCCAACTCCCTGCACTGGCTTCCGGTACTCAGCGGGATATTTCTCAATGCTGTTTCCTGCTCTCAGCGAGGGCTCTTCCACCGTGGTGAGCCCTCAGCTCAGGGCTCCTGTGTCTCCTGCTTTTGGGCGCTGGACATTTCTGCTGCTTCCAGCTTGGAGCCAGACTGAGTAAAGTTGTTGTAAGAAATGCACGCGTTTGCCTTTCTCTTGGGCCAGCATTCAGAGGCGGCATAGCTGGGACATAGGAGAAGGAGCTATTCAACTGCATTCTATCCACCAGGCGCTCCCCTAAGCTGTGCTGTGTTCACTGTCTAACCTGCGATTTGTGAGGGTTCCGGCTGTCCCGCACACATCCCAATCCACGGGCAATTGTCTGCAAGTGAGGTGCCGCTGACAAGGTTCTCCCTGGTGTCAGAATGGTAAAGAATCCCCTTCCTCCCCCTCCCGTTGTGCCGTCTGCTCCCGACATGCACCCCAAGTCTGGCTGATCCAGGAACATCCTGGGGACGAGGGTGCACGTGGCCTTGATCTCTAGCAGCATTCCAAAGAAGTTAGTCTCTTTGCAAACTCTGGGGCACATAGGCAGAGCAGAAGCAGAAAAGGAGGTGCAGACACACAGATGGCCCTGAGACACCTCCTGCCCACTCGGTGCCTGTGAGACAGGATGCTTGCCTTGCTCCATCATTGTTCTGCCGCTACAGACTGGGCAGTTTATAAACAGTAGAAATTTGCTTCCTCGGGTTCTGAAGACACCAGTGCCAAGGTGTCGGCATCTGAAGGCCCTCTTCCTGCTTCGTCCCACGGCAGCAGGCAGGAGGGCAAGAGAAGGCCCCAGTGAGAGCAAGAACTCAAACGCACATCCTCAAGCCCTTTTGTGATTGGTGGGAATCCATCGGTGTGGGTGGGGCCCTCGTGCCCTGGGCCCCTCCCATCAGCCCCTGGCCTGACACTGGCGCATGGGGGGTTTACATTTCCAGTAGACACTTTTGTGGTGAACCACAGCAACACTCAACTGCGCCTCCCAACTGTGCCTGGGCCCTTCTCACTAGTGCACCGCAGGTACCCTCACTGTCCCGGCCCCACTTCCGCCAACCCCCGGCTATCCTGCGCTTCTCTTTCAGCCAATTATTTCCCTTCCCCAGAGGTGGAGGCCAACTTAAGGCAATTTAGTTCATACACTTTCTCCCACCCACGTCACTTGGAATATCCTCCTGTGCCTGAGATTCCTCTCTCCAGCTTGAAATCCAGAGAAGAGAAGGAGATGGATAAATCCACAAAGAGAGGATTGGAAGCTCCTGGGGGTACCACCACACTCCAGAATAAAGATCTCTATTGTCAGGGCCAGTGTTGTGCATAGCCACCGCCTCGGATGCTGGCATCCCGTATGGGCACCGGTTCCAGTCCACATCCGATCCAGTTCCCTGCTAATGGGCTAGGAAAAGTAGCAGATAATGGCCCAAGTGCTTAGACCCCTGCCACGCACACGGAAGACTCAGATCAAACTCCTGGGTTTGGCCTGGCCCAGCACTGGCCATTGCAACCATTTGGGGAGTGAACCAGGCAGACGGAAGACACCTCTCTCTCTCTACCTCTCTACCTCTCTCTCTCAGACTTTTTTTTTTTTTTTTTTTTGACAGGCAGAGTGGACAGTGAGAGAGGGAGACAGAAAAAAAGGTCTTGCTTTGCCGTTGGTTCACCCTCCAATGGCCGCTGCGGCCGGCGCACCACACTGATCCGAAGCCAGGAGCCAGGTGCTTCTCCTGGTCTCCCATGCGGGTGCAGGGCCCAAGCACTTAGGCCATCCTCCACTGCACTCCCGGGCCACAGCAGAGAGCTGGCCTGGAAGAGGGGCAACCGGGACAGAATCCAGCGCCCCAACCGGGACTAGAAACCGGTGTGCCGGCGCCACAGGCGGAGGATCAGCTTATTGAGCCGCGGCGCTGGCCTCTCTCAGACTATCAAACAAATACTTTAAAAAAAAAAAAAAAAGATCTCCATTGTGATGTTTTTATCTTTCTTAAAGACTTATGTATCTGAAAGGCAGAGTTGCAGCGGGGCAGAGGCAAAGGTCTTCCCTGATGCTTTTCTTGTAAAAGGCATCTTCCTGCATAATTATGTGTTTGCACAAGGAATAGGACCGTAAAAGGGATGCAAGCTGCTTGGAGAGCCTCAGTGCCCTCGGCTCAGGTGGCCACTGATTGGCTGTGTGGCCTCCAGCACGTCCCCTGTGTGAGGCGGTAGAAGCCACCTGCCCCACCCACATCCCCAGGCAAAACCCATCCCCACCACAGCAATGATGTCACTGCACTTTGAACCTGTGCAAACCCCAGGTGACCAGTCTGGGTGGAGCCCAGCTGGAGCGAGGCGAGGAAGGTCCCTGGGGCTGTGAGTGCCCACTGGCTTCTTCCGGAGTCCAGCCTTGTCCAGCTCTCTCTTTCCCCGACACTGGTCCCCCTGCCCCTGGCTCCTCCCCATTGGCTAACTGCCAGACTTCTTTAGTTTCTATTTCCCTGCTAGGTCCTTCCCTGAGCAAAGGACCTCTCGGCTTGGTGTGAACAGCAGCAGTGGCCCCAGTGCTGGTGAGAACATGATGGCGTTCCAACGCCCCCAGCCTCCCTTCCTGTATCCGGTGAGTTCTGGGGCTGCAGCCATGGTCCCAGGCGGGTCTGTGCTGAGCTGCCCGCCATCGTGAGGGCCGGGAGGTATTAGATGGTGACAGTTTATAAAGGCGGCTCCTGGGGGGACAGTAGCCTATCATGGCACTGGGGGCACTAGCTTTGCAGATGGCCTGCCTGGGGCCAGCCACTGACCAGGTGAGAGGCCTCAGACAAGATAGTTTTACCTCTCTGGGCTTCAGTGTCCACATCTATAGAATGGGGACAAGACTGGAGCCCACCTCCCAAGGTTGGGGTAAGGATGAAGTGAGGCGGCAGACCTGGCACGTGGGGACCGTGTCTAGCACACAGTAGGCACTTTGTGTGTGGGGGGGGGGACTTGGTGTTATTAGGAGCCTGGGAACAGCAGGAAAACCTCCCCAGGAGGTGTCTGTGCCCAGGGGTGGGGGTAAGCTGGAGTCTGCCTGGCAAGGCGGGGTCCAGGGTTTCTCAGAACTGAGGGTGTGGGGCTGTCCTAGCAGTGTGGGTACGCGGCTGCCTTGTTCGCCGGCTCTGTCGGCGGGCGGCCTGCTCTAAACCCTCTAAAGTTTATTTTCTCCTTCATATGTGGAAAAACCGACTCAGACAGGTGAGGTCATGGGCCAATGTGCCCCGAGGGGCAGCGGCAGCCAAGGCAGTGCCTTGATTCACCCCTCAGAAGAGGGGGTGCCGGGGACAGAGCGATGGCAGGGGGAGGCAGAGAGAGGCAGCCCCAGGCCCGGCGCCTCCTGTGGTCCTCGTGCTTGGGCCAGGCCTACAGGAGGGTCCCTCCCAGCCTTGACCAAGAGCTTCTCCAAGGGCCAGAGCAGGTAGGCGTGTGTGCCACAGCAGGCGCTGGGCGTCGCTGAGGCCCCTTCCTGTTTGCCGTCACCGCTGCCCGTACAGCCACCCTGTGAGGGCTCCAGAGGTGGGACCTGTGCAAAGTGCCTGGGGAGAAACTGGCACAGGCTGCCGGCCCCACCAGGGGAGCCTCCAGATCAGAAGTACCGCCTGGGCCACGCGCCCGCTCCCCAGTTCTCCCAGGACCTGGCACCTGCTTACTCTGGGGACTGGTATTTGCTTTTCCGTCTTGGGATTCAGAAGCGAAATTAGTGAAACCAGCAGGAAAAGACCTCCCGGGGCAGCAGAGTTCCCACAGGGTCAGGAGTGCAGCCAAACCCCACCCAGCGGCATACTTGGCCCCTGCCCCAGGAGGGCTGCCATCCCCCAGGGCCCCCAGGAGCCGGGCTTCCTCTGAAGGAGGTTTGTAGGTCACGCGGCTGCCCTCTGCCGAGAGGTCACCCTCACCCTGTGAGGTGTCCAGAGAGGGCCAGAGGGAAGTGGTCAGGGCAGCCTGGATGGGACCCGCGGGGGTGTGGGTGACAGAAACAAGGATGTTCTGTGCTTCCTCCTGAGACGCAACAGTGTGGTCTGGGTAAGTCACTGATGATCTTTGTGCCGTGACCCAGGCAATGGCCGGGGGGAAGTCACGCGGGCACAGAAGGCGGCCAGCGGCAGGGCTTCAGCTCCCGGGCCAGCCCTGGCCAGCCGGGCTGAGCCCCCCCGCCCCATGATGCCACGTGCAGGAGGGGGCTGCCCACACCCTGGCCTGTGGGCCCTCACCTCACTTTCCGGGCCCCTGCGTGGGAAGAGCAGGGCAAGGACCCCAGCCTGCAGGCGCAGCCTGGAGTGGGCAGCCCGCTCTGACCCCACAGAGGGACTGCTTCAGAGAGCCTCTCTGGCGGCCGACCAGCGCCAGGGGCTTTCCGCTTTGGTCTCATCTAACCTTGTCCCGAACACTGCCCCACCACGGATGCAGGGAGGGAAGCGGAACACAGACCACTGTGCGATCACAAGCCACTGCCACCCCGGGGCCTGTGCAATCGCAGGCTTGCTGCAAAACTCCATCTGGGTCCCAGAGACCCCCCGTTGGCACTCACAGGCGGGCTGGAATCCCACAGCAAGCCACAAGTGGGGGTGGGGGACGGCGACAAACAGGTTCTTTACATTTCTGGAGGTCCCGCGTGCCCGCCGTCCCTTGTCTCCTTCTGCTGGTGGCAGGGGGACGTCTGTGTCCTCACCCACCCAGCTCCCACAGCTGCCTGCGGGCCTCGCTCGGCCACCGCCGGCTGCGACCGGATCCTCGCTCTCACACAGATCTTTGTGGTTACCTTGGGCAGCCTGAGGAACCCAGCATAGCGTTTTCATCTCCAGGTGCTTAATTTAACTGCATTTGCAAAAGTCCCCTTTGCAGGAGAGGTGGTATGCTCACAGGTTAGCATGTGGGCATGTCTGGGAACGCCTGGGCCAGGCCTGGCTGGAGCCCTTCGGAGCAGTCTGCCAGCGGAGACACTTTATCTGCAAATACCAACATTCCTGTATGCAGCCCTCCTCCACCCGCTGTGTATACAATGGCATCATCCCACTCGGTGCTCCAAGTACTTCCTCCATTTAAAAAAAAAAAAAAAAGATTTATTTTACTTATTTGAAAGGCAGAGTAAGAAAGAGAGAGAGAGAGAGAGAAGAGGGAGTGATCCACCTTCTATCTACTAGATCACTCCCCAAATAGCTACAACAGCCAGAGCTGGGCCAGCACAAAGCTAGGAGCCTGGAACTCCTGAGCCGTCTTCCACTGCTTTCCCAGGTGCGTTAGGAGGGGCTGGTTTGGAACTGGAGCAGCCAAGGCTCAAACCACGTTCCGATACGGGATGCTGGCATCACAGGCAGTGGCTTAACCTGCCGCACAGCAGTGTCAGCCCCCTTTTTCAGATAGATTCTGCTGTATGGAAATTGCATAAATTCTTCCACTTTTTCCTGTTGGTGTGCTTTTAGGGTCTTTTCAATCCTTCGTTATTATAATGCCAAAAAATCATCTTGTCTATAGGATTAGCCTCAATTTCTTTTTTTTAAATAAGATTTATTTATTTGGAAGTCAAATTTACAGAGAGAGAAAGAGGAAGAGAGAGAGAGAAATCTTCCATTGTTGATTCACTCTCCAGATGGCTGACAGCCAGGGCTGGGCCAGGCCAAACCCAGGAGCCAGGAGCTTCTTCCGGGTCTCCCATGTGGGTGCAGGGGCCCAAGCACTTAGGCCATCTTCCACTGCTTTTCCCTCTCCCCCTCTCCCCCTCTCACCCAAAAAAAAAAAAAGTTAAAGTCGTTTATGGGAAGAAGGGGAAGTTGCCGATTTTTGCAACTAAGCACTTAAAGACCGGGGGGGGGGGGGAGGGGACACAAAAAACAATGTGCATGCGCTGCGGTGTAAACCAATTCCCCAACGCCCCCCTCAGTGTTGGTATTCCTCCTCCATGCACTCAGTAGGAAGAGATTTCAGACTAAAGTCTAGAAGAAGGCTCGCTGGCTAAGACGGTGTGCATACGCATCCTCACGACGTGACTGACGGGTGAGTGAGAATTCCAAGCCCCTTCTCAAA